GCCTGAAGACAGATATTAGAGGAAGTAAAGAAATCATAACTCGTGATGATTTTGTTGTTGAACGTGCAATATGTGTGTGTGTGTGTGTGTGTGTGTGTGTGTGTGTGTGTGTCAGCAGATCTCAGCAGCAGGAGTGTGTTGGTGACGGTGTTGATCCTCCTCTTCCTCCTCCTCTTCATCATCATCATCTTGTTCGTCCTCAACAGGAAGAGGAAGCAGCGGATCAGGCGTTCAGGTATGAGCCAATCAGAGACAGGGACACACACACACATACACACACACACACACACACACACACCTGAAGCTTCACTGATTGGTTTAGTAACTTTAGTTAATATTTTATGTTATTAATGATCCGCTGCTTCAGGTCCGCTGGAGGACAACCTGTACGTGGAGATGCACAGTCACCGTGGCAACAAGAGGGAGGAGGACGAGTGTCACTATGGTAACACTGGTTTATTTACAATGATGAGATGCTAACAGATGCTAATATACCCTTACAGATACTAGAAGATTCTAACAGATGCTACTGAATGCTAACAGATACTAAGAGATTATAACAGATGCTATGTATGCTAACAGATGCTATTGAATGCTAACAGATGCTAACTTGTTATCCTGTCCACAGTTCCCTGTAATCCTGCTGTTTCCGTGGAAACACCAGCGCAGAGTTCAGAGGAGAACGTGTATATGTGACGGCCAATCAGAGCTCTCCTCACCTGCATGTTTCTCTGTTTGCATCTTAATCAATAAAGTGAGGTTGTTTGCAGACGTTAGAGATGTTCCTCTTTTATTTTAACAATACAAGAAATTAACCAAAAATAATACAATATAAGATGATAAAATATTAGAGTAATGAAAGATAAAAGTATATATAATAATGTGAAAATGTAAACTCCTGATAACATATCAGTTCCCCTTTTTATAAATACAACTTTAATTCTAATAATCAAATGTATTCGTGACAAACATTTTCATCTTCCCCAAAAGAAAACAAAGGTTTAATAACATATTTTGTTGATGCTAACAGATGCTAACAAGCGCTTAAAGATGTAGACAGATGCTAATAAAGTATATGCTAACATACGCTAAAAATAATAATATATATATATACTGTATATAAATGCTAACAGATGCAGACAGATGCTATTGTGTGCTAAAACATGCTCATAATGTATTCATGTTGACCAACAGGAGAGATAAACACTTTGATCTTCCCCAAAAGAAACTAACGGTTTAATAAAAATATTTTGATGATGCTAACAGATGCTAAGGGTTGCTAACAGAAGCTAAGGGTTGCTAACAGATGCTAAGGGTTGCTAACAGATGCTAAGGGTTGCTAACAGAAGCTAAGGGCTGCTAACAGAAGCTAAGGGTTGCTAACAGATGCTAAGGGTTGCTAACAGATGCTAATGGTTCCTAACGGATGCTAAGGGTTGCTAACAGATGCTAAGGGTTGCTAACAGATGCTAAGGGTTGCTAACAGATGCTAAGGGTTACTAACAGAAATAGGATATATATGCTAATACATATATATATATATATGCTAATATATATATATATATATGCTCATACATATATATATATATATATATATATATATATATATATATGCTAATACATATATATATATATATGCTAACAGATTATATCAAATATGAACAGAATGACATTTGCTAATAAAATATATACATATGCTAAAACATGCAGTCAGATGCTAATGTATGCTAACACATGCTAACAGTTCATGTGTTCATGTTGACCAACAGGAGAACATTGATCTTCCCCAAAATAAACTAAAGCTTTATTAAAATATAACGTGAGGAGGAAACCTCAGAAGACGGTGATCTGCTCCTCCTCCTCTTCCTCTCCACCCAGCGTCTGCACACACACAATAACATAAATCAGATATTATCATTAACTCCAGTCCTTTATTAATAATAACTTATTGTAGGGTAAGTGAAGGCGTCACCAGGAAGAGCAGCGAGTGGTGGATGATGAACTCTCTGGTGAGCGTCAGCAGGTCCGGGTTCAGAGTCTGGAACAGAGAGGGGATCAGGACCAGAGCCAGGTTCTGAGCTGACATCCTGTTCACCTGGGAGAACACCTGGACCCTGCACACACACACACACACACACACACACACACACACACACACACACACACACACACACACACACACACACACACACTTCAGCTTCCTTCAGGATACTCCTCTACACACACTTCAACATGCAAATAATGTTGTACTTTTTATTTACATAAATGAAGTGTGTGAGTGTGTGTGTGTGTGTGTGTGTGTGTGTGTGTGTGTGTGTGTGTGTGTGTGTGTGTGTGTGTGTGTGTGTGTGTTACATGTAGAAGTGTCCAAACAGTGCGTTCAGCGTGGCTCTGTTGTCTTCAGGAAGTTTCCGGAGCAGCCGTCGGTACGAAGAGAACCTGGAGCGCTCGTCTGAAATCACTGAGAAGAAGTACTGCATTAATACTGCAGTAATACTAC